TAATAGAACAAGAAAACACAACATAAAATAACACTATTAACTAAAGAAGATGTTACAAAAACTTTTTATATTTAAACAACAGTATGTGAACATTGTTAACTATTAACATTCCGTTAACTATTAATTATAAATTATTAATATTCTCTGTCATAACCGTTGATTTGCGTCCCGATCCATTAACGATGCTTTTAGGTACCACAAGCACCAGTCATCGTCTTCGTCGAACCCGTCGCTTGCGACGAAGGACTCGACGAGCGAATTAACCCATAGACGCAGCCCACTGAGTTTCTCAGTGGGTCGCGTCTCCGATCTGGTGGTAGATTCTGCGAAGCACTGCTCTTGCTAGGGTCAAGTTTGAGCCCCGTGAGCTCACCTACAAACGTTAGGGCGATGCTGAAATAGCCTCTCAAGGCTATCAGCATATGTAGGGGAAAAAAAAGAGCTATAGGAACTAACAATTCTAAGGCCAAGTCTCGTGCCGCGTTTTTTTTATTTATTGCTTAGATGGGTGGACGAGCTCACATCCCACCTGGTGTTAAGTGGTTACTGGAGCCCATAGACACCTACAACGCAAATGCGCCACCCACCTTGAGATATAAGTTCTAAGGTTTCAGNCTCAAGGCTATCAGCATATGTAGGGGAAAAAAAAGAGCTATAGGAACTAACAATTCTAAGGCCAAGTCTCGTGCCGCGTTTTTTTTATTTATTGCTTAGATGGGTGGACGAGCTCACATCCCACCTGGTGTTAAGTGGTTACTGGAGCCCATAGACACCTACAACGCAAATGCGCCACCCACCTTGAGATATAAGTTCTAAGGTTTCAGTATAGTTACGACGGCTGCCCCACCCTTCAAACCGAAACGCATTACTGCTTCACGGCAGAAATAGACGGAGTCGTGGTACCTACCCGTGCCTGTCTCGTAATTTCCAGTGCATCATCTGAGTCAACTAACCGGGACCAAATCAAATGCGCTCACTTTATTGCACGATCTTCATCCATACAGTAAACCTTTCCGTTGCTTTTGAACTCAACTAATTTCTACTCTTTTGATTTACCACAAATCCTTTAACCAAATCCCATATAGCAAACTGTGTTGATCTTAGATAAAGACTTTACGATGTGTAAAGCTCCGTGATAAGTACCAATAAAATAAGCTTTAAGCTTTCAACTTCAAACGGGATTTTTGTTGAATGTGTGACAATTTGTTGAAGCTTAAAAATTGTGCATCTGTGGTTCAGTGGCGGTAACTTGTAAGGTATTGGTTCGTTTTGCACGAGATAAAGCCATGTTCATAATATAATCATAAGCATGATCATAAAATGAAAATAATATTATATTATAAACATATTAAATATTTAATTAATAATATTAAATAATAGTGAGTGTAATGCTATCTACAAATTTTAAAAATTAATCCATAGTTTTACGTTTCAATGGCTTTTTTTCTATAATAGTTTTGTCATAAAAACTTTTAATATAAGCTTCTCCACAGTTTTCGTAGTCTATGTGTTAATGATACCAAATTTATTATTTTATATGATAATAGGACACTTAATTAGTCCATAGTAATGTTATTGTTTACAGCGTGGACTGTATTTTTGTGCTAGCTTCAATAAAAACTAGATTCAGGGCAAAGTATTTTTATTTTTTGATGTACAACACGTGCAGTATGACCAGAGTTTTTTATGCAACTACAACTGTGTCGCCATACTTATTAGTGTGTTCCCACATTTAAAATCGATCATATAAAATTTTATGTTTAGGATTTCCCTAATCAGCTATCACCATTCACACATTCGACCTCATGTCTCAAGGTGGGCGACGGCGTTCTCAAAGCAATGAAAAATAATAAACCAAATCCATTAATTTCCATGATGAAGGAATAAAATCGTAGAATAAAAGTTATGTAGACATAACTGAGTGTAATAAATTTATGGTGAGAGAAGATAGGACGTATTGCGAGCTCTCATGAGTCGATATTACTTACTACCCACACTATCTATTCCCGTTAAGGCGTGGACACATGTCTACGGTGCGGCGCCGGCTACCGTGTAACGGCGCGGCGCCGCTACCGTTGAGACGGCGCGGCGTCGTGCCGCGACGTGGTGCCGNTTATGTAGACATAACTGAGTGTAATAAATTTATGGTGAGAGAAGATAGGACGTATTGCGAGCTCTCATGAGTCGATATTACTTACTACCCACACTATCTATTCCCGTTAAGGCGTGGACACATGTCTACGGTGCGGCGCCGGCTACCGTGTAACGGCGCGGCGCCGCTACCGTTGAGACGGCGCGGCGTCGTGCCGCGACGTGGTGCCGTGTACGGTTCACCGCACCGGCGTATGTTCACGATTGACTTACACGGTGAAGGAATAACATCGTGTAATAAAAATCAAAGCCGCAAAATTATAATTTGCATAATTACTGGTGGTAGGACCTCTTGTGAGTCCGCACGGGTAGGTACCACCGCCCCGCCTATGTCTGCCGTGAAGCAGTAATGCGTTTCGGTTTGAAGGGTGGGGCAGCCGTTGTAACTATACTGAGACCTTAGAACTTATATCTCAAGGTGGGTGGCGCATTTACGTTGTAGATGTTTATGGGCTCCAGTAACCACTTAATATCAGATGGGCTGTGAGCTCGTCCACCCATCAAAGCAATAAAAAAAAAATGGCATTGACCATCGTTTCCAATACAGTTTCTGTGTTAACATGGACCGCAAAAAACGTATTATTCTGCTCCTTTTGCTAATTAATACGACAAATGAAGAAAAAACTTAATCAAAGAAAATATTGGGTGAATCCATACCTTTCTATAATGAATCATGATGGAGGTTATTTTAAGAGGAAATATGAAGCGCTGAAAATATGTGGTATTGACAAATTTTACGAATATTTTGTGGAGCAGGAGCAGTGCGCCGTGTGTCAGGGCGATGCACCGTACACGGTAGCCGGCGCCGCACCGTAGACATGTGTCCACGCCCTTACGTATTTCCATGCGGTTCGGTTTGAAGGGTTGGGGTGGAAAGCATGCGCGCACAGAGCTAAGTCGTCGTGGCCTAAAGGATAAGACGTCCGGTGCATTCGTATCAAGCGATGCACCGGTGTTCGAATCCCAGGCGGGTATCAATTGTTCTAATGAAATACGTACTTAACAAATGTTCACGATTGATTTCTACGGAAAGGAATAACATCAATAAAAATCAAACATACAAAGTTATAATTTGCTTCATTACTGGTGGTAGGACGCTTTGTGAGTCTGCACGGGTAGGTACCACCACCCTGCCTATTTCTGCCGTGAAGCAGTTATGCGTTTCGGTTTGAAGGGGGAAGCCATTGTATTGTAAAAACTGGCACCTTACAACTCATATCTCAAGGTGGATGGCGGCATTTACGTTGTAGATGTCTATGGGCTACGGTAAACACTTAACACCAGGTGGGCCGTGAGCTCATCCACCCATATAAACAATAAAAAAAAAGCGAATGACTAGACCAATTATAAATTTGAGAGCATAAAAAAACTTAGAAACTTAGATTTTCTTAAAAAATACACTCCGAGCTCAAAAGCTCTTTGAAACAATTAGATTTTCCATCGAATAAAAGTAAACAAGAGCAAAGCTTTTTCCATTAAAATTTCAACATCGTCTCAAGAAGTGCTGCACTTTCCAAGATTAAGCCCTTTTAAGCTGCCACACGAGGTGCTTTCACGTCTCAACTCGTTGGTAAATGTGTGCTTAGTTTCATCCAAGGACATATTGTGGTAAGCTTTAGAAAGTACATGTTAGTTGAAGATTCATTTTCGTTCTTCCCCCTTACAAATGCGGGTGTAAGCTTTAGATTAAAAGCTTAAAGTTAAGCTCATCGGTTTCGTATAAGCTCATAGAAAAGCATACTTAATTGTCGAGGTGCCTCTCTATATTTGGCAATTTACTTCTTTTTTTTCACAGTTCTAATCTTAATTTATAACTGCTTCATTGTTGTAATAGGCAGGATGGCAGTGCTTAGCCATTTAGACTCACAATGGGTCGTGAGCGCGTACCTAGGTGAGCATCTATGAGTGAATACTAACTGGGAAAACCTGTTCGCGAAATTGACTGTTTTGCTGGATGGAATTGAATTTCCATTCAGCAAAACACTTCCTCTGTTTGCCATTGTAAAATACCAAATTAAGATAAAAGGTACGCAGATTAAGCTCCCATCTACATTACAATGTTTAACCTATGAATATTATTTGTTTAAGAATCAACTATGTACGCCAAATACAAAGATATTGTGTATATTTATACTAATATTATAAAGCTGAAGAGTTTGTTTGTTTGAACGCGTTAATTGAAAAATTCTTTCACTGTTAGATAGCCCATTTATTGAGGAAGGCTATATATAGGCTATATACCATCACGGTAAGACCAATACAAGTGGAGCACCGGTAAAGAATGTTTCAAGATATTTTCACTTTCTAGGTAAATGAAGTGGGGATAAAATTTATCGTTATGCCAAAGTAACTATTTCACGCGGACGGAGTCGGGGGCAGAAGCTAGTCACAAATAAAGAAATTATATGCAATTCATAAAATATAAAAAAGGTCTCAAAAGAATAGGTAGCCTATAAATAGACGCGGCAGTCTAAAAAAAAAAATGTCTTCATCAATCCGTAAACCTTAATGAAATGTTAAAATTATAACGCCTACAAAATTTCTGATATCTAGAAACGTTCGGGGTCCCCTCTAGTCTATTCGGCTGTCCCTTTCGCACCAACAGCTTTTATGGGTCTTCAAGCGAAAGAGAATCAGCGAAAACACCCACTGGACTCTAGCGTTTCAACCCCTGTTTTCAGTCGTACCCCGGTCGCGAAACACCGCGCGCGTCTCCCTCAAACTCGATCTCATTAAATCAACAGACAATTTATCTTATTGAATTAAATTCGTTCGCAAATCTGCAAAGCGGAATGCACTTTTGGGGTACGTTTAGCTCAAAACAAAAGTCGTAAAATTACATACACGTCGGGTCATAGATATTTTTTGTTAGTTAATTTTTTTCTCCGTTTAATTCGTCAGTGGAGTAATCGAATTTCGCGGACGCCGGGCTCTATTACCGGACAACAGGTGAGTCTTTGCTTATGTATATATAAAACCGATTTTTTTATATTTTACATTCTATATTATTATTTTTCGCGAAAATTCTCAAAGTTTTCTAGAATGCGTACGAGGCTGTTGTTTTTTGTGTTGTTAAAATAATTAATTAAAAATCTACGTAATTTATAATCTAAGGTTTCTTTCCAGATATTACGTAGCACAAATTCGTCAAATTAATATATTGTTATAAAATTCCTTAAAATTCTGTATTTACTACAATTAAAATTGCATTCGTGCTATCGACTATTTTTCCTAATAAAATAAATACGTATTTAATAAAAACGTTCATGAATGATTTCCAAGGTGAAGAAATAGCGCCGTGTAATAAAAATCAAAACCGGAAAAATTATAATTTGCGTATTTGCTGGTGGTAGCGCGTCTTGTGAACCCGCACGCATTTCGGTTTGTAGGGTGGGGCAGTCGTTTTCTTGTAAAAACTGAGACTTAGAACTTATGTCTCAAGGTTTTTTTATTTTTTATTGCTTAGATGATTGGACTAGCTCACAGCCCACCTGTTCTTAAGTGGTTACTGGAGCCCATAGACATCTACAACGTAAACGTGCCACCCATATAGTTACAACGGCTGCCCCGCCCTTCAAACGGAAACGCATTACTGCTTCACGGCAGAAATAGGCAGGGGGCGGTGGTACCTACCCGCACGGATTCACAAGAGGTCCTACCACCAGGAGGGTAGCGGCATTAACATTGTTGTACACGGGCTCCGATGACCACTTAAGATGGGCTGTGAAATCGTCCAAAATTAGCAACAAAAAAAATGGGTATCTGTTTATACTTAAATAAACATAATACATTGTGAGTTTCTTTAATTTCTTTTAACATTATAGAATTTTTGAACTACATACAATGAAATTAGGAGTTCAATTTTGAACTACGTAAAAACTTAAACCCATTAGGGTTTAAGTTTAAGTTTTTTAGAGATATTAATCTCTTCTGCAATGCAAAAATACATCTTCCAACTCTTCATTCTTCATGTGCTACGCTTATATTTTCCATTCCTCTAGAAGACGGGTCTACTTCCATACGGGTATACGACGTTAGCAATATCTTGTCACGATTCTATGCTCGACCTGATTGTAAACGGTTACCGTCGCCCAACGACATCGGCAACAGTAGCCAAGCTGCTGTTTTCAAGATACCTTCGAGAATGTAGTTCTCGGGAAAAATGAGGGATTAAGAGACTCCATTTGGAAAAGTGGTAGGGAATAGTCCTGTTCCAGTGGTGGGTAGTGCGATGAAGAAGACAGAAGCTGGCACAAGTATTGAATGCGTTCCGTTTTGAAAGTTGAAAAAGCTCATGCTCATGGCTATGCCTGTGACCTATTAAAAGCCCGTAAGTATAGCTTTTGGAGTTGACGACAAAGGGAATATCTTCCATAGAGCAGGTGATATTGCTCGGTAGACCGATGGACCGAATATTGTTGTTCGGAGCTTTTGTATATGCAAGCTTAATTTGAAAATTTCAGTAGTGAGATTCAGGCGTCTATCAAATATCTTGGGTTCTACGATGGCTATCACCACATAGGTAGCACAATCTTGCCTATTTCTGCCATAGCTCGGTGATTGGCATATTCCGGTTCAAAAGGTAGGACAGACGGTGCGGGCAATGTCGTTTTGATGTCCATGGGCCCGAGTAGCCAACTACACGTTACACTAATTTGAAGATGAGTTAACTCATGAACGCAATCAATAAAAACCTATAAGAATTGCAAAGAAACTAGGGGATACTTCCTAATACAACCCAGTAAATTAAATAAATAAAAAACATCAATAGAACTACCAAATAATAAACTAAATTACTAAATAGGTATAAGTATATAGCACAAAATTCATTAAAAATACGTTAATGCTCATAATAAAGCCTCTAGATTCGCTCATGAGCTTTTCGGTGAAAGTATACAATCTGCATTAAAAATTTATTTATCATTTCTCAATCCATTTTTTTATTGCTTAGATGTGTGGACGAGCTCACAACCCACCTCTAGTTAAGTGGTTACTGGAGTCCATAGACATCTACAACGTAAATGCGCCACCCACCTTAAGATATAAGTTCTAAGGTCTCAATATAATTACAACGGCTGCCCCACCCTTTAAACCGAAACGCATTACTGATTCACGGCAGAAATAGGCAGGGCGGTGGTACCTACCCGCGCGGACTCACAAGACGTCCTACCACCAGTCAAAAACCACACCCAGTTATTTATAAATGTTATTGCAGGTAAATTAGAAAATCACTACGCACTAATAATTCCTTTCACTCAATTCGTCACATTTCGAAAACAAATATATTATAATAACAAAGTGATTGATTGCTATTATACTAATCGATTTGGAACTACGTGTGTTCAGTGCAGGAGTCTTCGTTAGTAAAGCAAACTTCCAAACCTCAGAATTGTACTGAGGTGATTAGGAGTTATAAGTCCTAGGGCGTATTCTTACTCCGCACGGGTAGGCTGCCACTAGCCTGCGCATTACTGCCACGAAGCAGCTTGGCGGTACGGTTTGTTCAGTATGACAGCCATTATATTGAAGCTTAGATTGTGGCTTACACTTCATGTCTTGAGAGGGGTGGCGGCTTCAAGTGACCACAAGTATAGAAGTTTCCGAAAATAAGGCGTATATAAGTTCACATTAACTAGCATTAGTGCTTGCAAAAAAAAAACGACTCGGCTCACGTAAGACGAATGGCACTCATTAAGCACAAAAACTCCGTAGCTGCTGCGGAAGCTTTAAGCTACATTTAAGTTTTCCTGGTGTAATTAAATTTTCTAATGACTCTGTTTCGTTTATAAGCCTTCTGTACTTCTTGACCAGGGTTTAAAGTGGAATACAAGCCATTTGGTTTTTATCCATCGACGGTAGATAAGTGTACGGTCCTTCACCTGGTAATAAATGCTTCTGTTGCTGACGAATACTGATAATAGACTGAGCGATCGAAGGCGACCCCAGTTATGACGTACGTTATTCAAATAGGCATATCGTTTTCATCCGTTAATTGATTTGGATTAAAACAACGTCAAACGTTGACGTTGCCTATTGGCGAAGCTTATCTCGCCACACGACTGACCACAGTCGAGCACCCAAATGAATTCAGTGATTGTGGAGAGTACTGTACACATACATAGAGTTGATGTCTGCTCCGTTGATCCTATTGAATAAACTTTGAACAGAAAACACGACAAGCCATCGTGAAATCGCCATTGTTTTCTGAATTTCAGAACAACTTTTCGTGTTCCCTTAAAACCGTATAATGATAAAAAAAAAACAAAAAATTCAACAAAATTGTTTTTTTGTTTTAATACAATGTGCTAAATGCCGAACGGATTCGATGTGCAACTTAACCTGGTCTTCTCAGCGGGCCGTAATTCCGATCCGGTAGTAGATCCATTCGCGAAGCAGCTGCTCTTGAGGACCTCTTGTGAGTCCGCACGGGTAATGCGAGTAATGCGTTTCGGTTTGAAGAGCGGGGCAGCCGTTGTAACTATACTTGAGACCTTAGAACTTATATCAAGGTGGGTGACGCATTTACGTTATAGATGTCTATGAGCTCCAGTAACCACTTAACACCAGGTGGGCTGTGAGCTCAACCACACATCTAAGCAATAAAAAAAAATCTTTTTAAAACTAAAGAGGTCTGTTTTTACAAATGTTTAACAAATACACCTACCAGTAAAGATTTTAATTAAAAAAAAAACATAATCCGAGCTGCTTTGCCACAGCGCCATAAGCACAGATTGTATAATTCGGTTCAGTGTGTGCTATTGTTATGTTCAAATCGCGTTTTCTCTGTAATTGTCCGTCTTAGTGCCAGATCCATAGTGCGTTATTTAGTTATTAAGTGTCAATCGTGTAGGATTAAACTCAATTTCGGTGTTTTTCTTACTGTGCTTCTTTTTTTATTTTTTTTTTATTTAATTTACTTCAGATTTTACATCCATATTACACGTCTTCATTTCATTGCATTAAAATTTCATTTATACTAAAATTAAATAAAAATAATAACTAATCTCGGACTAAAACAATAATAATAATAAAAACAAAAAATCAAATAATAATAATAATAATAAAACAAAAACTACCTTAACCTAAAGGCTGGTTTGGATCCAGAGTGCTCAAAATGCACACGTGTCCAGTGTTGCATTATTGGGCAGTCCAGATCCAGATCCTTTGAGGCTACGCTGGATTCAAATCGAAACAGGTTTGATAAGAGATGAGCGTTCTTGAATGACTTCCACAAAGAAAATCGATTTTCCTCTTTGTCATATGCTTTGTGATAGGACAGAATAGGAGTATTCTGAGCTCATAGAGAAAGGTATCATCAACATGCCAGTATCTACTTTTAAACAGTCATGCCAGCCGTTTTGGAGTTTTACTGGTGGTAGGACCTCTTGAGAGTCTGCGCGGGTAGGTACCACCACGCTGCTTATTTCTGCCGTGAAGCAGTAATGCGTTTCGGTTTGAAAGGTGGGGCAGCCGCTGTAACTGTAACTATACTTGAGACCTTAGAACTTATGTCTCAAACCGGGTAGCGCATTTACGTTGTAGATATCTATGGACTCCAGTAAACACCTAACACCAGGTGGACTGTGAGCTCGTCCACCCATGTAAGCAATAAAATAAAATAAAATTGAGACAATCAGTTTGGGAAATTAAGTCTTCGAAGATCTAACACCCCCCATTTTAAAAATCAAATTTAGTCTTCGAAGATTTTACCCCCATTTTAAAAGTCTACGAAGTACAGTCTATAGTTCTTGTTCAGCCCGTCTCGCGCATTTAGATGTGTTTTTCAAAATTCTACTTGTTTATTTTCGTGGCTGTTTGAGGGCTTTCGTTGTAAAGGTGAAAAAGCTTAACGAATTAGGCTTTTGAAAAGTTATTTTCGTTTTGGCTTGTTGTAATAAAAGCACTTTGAGGTGTTTTCAACAGAAAATATACACGCTTTTAAAAATTTT